AAAGTTTATTAACATAAACATTAGGAAAATATTTCCAAGGCCATGACAATCTTTATAAAGCCGTATTCGTTAAGGATAATTCAATGGCTAGGCCTATATTTTTAACCATTTAATCTTGAAGGTATTTCAAATTATGCCAAGCTTTATGAAGTAAATTTTTGGAAAAGAAACTCCATTACTATGGAGCTTCACAAACTCGAGTTTTGAAATATATTTCAGAGGTGCCGTTCAGGCTTATAGCAGTGGATTTTCAAAGTGTATATCCAGTATATTTTTAAAGACCCTAGTTAGCTCTATGACGATGTTTTTTTTTTTTCAATATTTCCTGGTCTATGTCCAGGTCTATAAGTGCCCATTTTCGAAGAAAATTTCGCAGGATATCCCTAGCTCTGAAAACGTGGACTTTTAAAGAATTTGCCAACGTGAACTTCTGAAGAATGGCAACTTGGATTTCTCAGTATTAATTCCAGATCTATGAAAGTGAAATTGTTAAGAATATTTCCTGGATTTCTCCAAATTAATTCTGGGTCTATAAAAGTGGAATTTTCAGGAATAATTCGAGGTCTATTTTTCAAGAAGAATTCCAAGTGTTAAACGTGGATTTATCAAGAATAATTTCAGGTCTATAAACGTAGATTTCTCAAGAATAATTTGAATTTTATGGCCGCACATTTCTCAAGAATAATTCCAGGTCTACAAATGTTGATTTCCCAGGTCTGCAAACGTGTACTTCTGAAGAACATTTGCAATGGCTATGTCAGGTCCATTATTCTCGACTTCTGAAAAATATCTGCTGTCCATATCTAGACCCATAAATCTTGTCGTCTGAAGAATATTTGCAAGTCTATATCCAGTTCATTATCCTCGACATCTGAAGAATATTATCAAGTCTATGTTCAGATTCATAAACCGAGTCTTTTGAAGAATATTTCCAAGTCTATGTCCTGACTTGTAAACTATGACTTCTGAAGAATATTTTCAAATCTATAGCCATGTCCATAAACTTCGTTTTTTGAAGAATATTTTCAGGGCTAAATATAGGTATATAAATGTGGATTTCTGAGGAAAACTTTTAAGGCTATTCCAGCTCCATAAACCTCCACTTAGGAAGAGTATTTGAAAGTACATATCCAGGTCCAAAATCCTCGTATTCTGAAGAGTACTTGCAAAACTGTAACCAGATCCTAAACTTCGAAGTCTGAAAAATATTTGCAAGGAATCCATATTTATGTACCGGGTATAAAGGTACATAAATATGGATTCCTGCAGAACACTTGTAAGTCTATATCCAGTTCCATAATCTTTGCCTTCTGAATGATATTTGCTTGTTTATATCCAAGTCCATAAACCTGGATTTTTGTGAAACATTTCCATAGCTATTTGCAGGTTACCAAACATGGATTGCTCGAGAATATTTCTAAGACAATGTCAAGGTCTATAATTTTCCATTTCTGCAACATAGACTTGAAAATATTTCCATTTTTGGATCCAAAGACTGAACGTATGCAGCATTGTTTCACGGTTATGGCCACGTAGAATTCTAAAGAATATTTCCGAATTCCAAAGAATACTTCCGACATTTGTATGTCGATTAATGTTAATTTCTGCAGAATATTTCCACATCTACAGCATAAGATGAAAAAACTGCAACTAATTTCAGACTGCTGAATTATCGTGTTTAATTGCCAGAGGTCAGCTTAAAATATGCACCTTTGGTTGGCCACCAGAACTGAAGCGCCGGCCATGGTGATGGTGTGGGCCGCCTTTACAGCGGATGGTCGCTCTCCGCTCGTATTAATCAACCGTGGCATGAAATTAAATGCCTCGCGAAAATATTCTGGAGGGTGTATTAAAGCCTTGGGCACGCAAACATTTTGGCCGCAGACCTTGGACATTCCAACAGGACTCAGCACCATCGCACTCACCACGCGTCATCCAAGAATGGTTACAAAATGAGGTTCCTCGCTTCATTTCCAGCGCACAATGGCAACGAAAATATCCGTATACCAATCCGTTGGGCTATTATATCTGGAGTATTTTAGAAAGCAAGGTTGGCACTAAAAAATACCGAAGCGTCGATCACCTCGAGCAAGCGCTTCGCCGGGAATAGGCCAAAATACCGCAGAGCAACATTCAGGCAGCGTATGACGGTTTCATTGGCCGTCTGAAGGCCATAATTCGTGCCAAAGGTGACCAATTCGAACAAATCTAAACTTATTCTAAAATCTAATGCTATTTCCGACATTTTTTGCTTTTACTCCATGAAATTAAAAAACGTAAAAAAAATTATGGAGTTTGACTTTGTTGCAGTTTTTTTTATCTCAACCTGTATGCCCAGGTCAATAAATGCAGATTTCTGGTAAATCTTTTCAAAACTGTTTCCAGGTTCATAAACGCGAAATTTCTGAAGAATATTTTCAAGGATATATCAAGGTCTATAAATTTCTATTTCTGCAACGTATTTTCAAGTCTAGGTCCAAATCCATAAACGTGGATTTTTCAAGGATGTCGTCAATTCTTTGTTTTATAAACGTAGATCTCTAAATAAGGCTATATCTAGGTCTTCGTCCGTAAACGTGATTTTTTTTAAGAATATCTACGGGGATATGGTCTGAAAAATAATTTAAAATCTTTGGCTGAGCCCATTAACGTGAAACTCTGAAAAATATTTCCAATGCCCATGTCCGAATCAATAAACTAGCATTTCTGAAAAAAGCCGTGTCTAATTTTGAAAATGGATATTTCTTTATAAAGTTTTTGGACCCTATTTATGTTTTGTAACTAAGTCATTGTTAAGAATATTTCCAGGTCCCGCTTAAAACCGTGGATTAAGGAAGAATTTTTTTTCCGAATGGAGGCTTAGTTTAAAAATGTGGATTTTGAAGAAGTATATCTCAATCCTTGCATTAATATTTTCCCAATTGAAATCAAGTTAGAAAATTATTTTTTCAGGGCGCGATCTGGTATAAAAACGTGCAATTGTGAATAAGATCTCCTAGTCCAGTCTCATTTAAAAATGTGGTGTTCCGATTTATATTTCGATATCCATGTCAACCCTACCTCTCTCATCTCCTTCTCTCTTTATATTTCTGCGTAGGAGAAGGAACCCAAAATTCTAATTTATTATCCAGAGTTATTCCCGTAGCGTAAAAAATGGATTCGGGTCTTATCTTCTTTTGCAAGTGTAAGGGTTCCTGCCTTACCCTTTATGTTATGGACCCGTTAGGAATAAACCAAAATTATTGGATCCAGGAAATCCCCAACTTCATGTTAATGCCAATCACATGAAATGTCCTTAGTTACTTGGTGCTTCAGATTGCACCTTCCCGATTCTAATTTGAAATAGAGAAAAACTAGCCATGCAATTTTTGGGTGTGGCTCCTTCTCGCTACAACCACAACAACTTCAATATGCAAAACTTCGCATTAGTTTTTATTAACAACAAAAACTACATCTACCTACTATTTTTTGGCCTGGCTACATAGCTCCAGTCAGCTAACTGTTCCGATGCAGATACTCACATGGAGATAATCAAAATAACAGCAGAAAGATGCAAACGGATGTATACAGGAAACAAGGGGCTCAACTCGAATGGATGGCTATCTATCTATCTCTGTGATATAAAAGTGCATAGAGTGCATGCCAAATAGCGAATAGATAGACAAAAGTAATAGCTACCCAAGAGGGGAGGGTGAAATGAATTCAAGTGGGAGCGGGATTGGCCTCAGCCAGATGCATTTGCAAAATGTCGGGATAATATGTGGCCGATGCAAGCTGCAAAAGAATACCAAAACCTATTTGAAAATTAAGAACCCAGCAGCAGGGCCAACTAAATACATGACCAAAGCGTTAGGGGAAGTTTAGTGCTTGCTCTCCCAGAAAAGCGTTGGCATGCATGTGTGTGTGTAAAATCTATATACCTAGGACTAGGTATATAAAATTTGGTTTAGTGTTTGTATAGAGTTAGTTTGGCAACCATCTCCTATGTATGCGGAGTGCTGTATGTATCATGGTGTTATACTGAAAATCCTAACAAAAACTGGATCCGTAGTCTAGGCACACGACACTAACACCACGGAAGTGTGCGTGTGTGTGTGAGTGTTGATGTAAGGATTTTCACTAACCATTTACCAACAACTATAATACACGCCCCGACTTGATACTGATGTTGATAACTAGAGTTTTTGGCCCACAATAGCAATAACAACAACAGCGAACAAATTTCTAGCACGAATATATCCTGCACATGGATGTTGTATGTCCTGGCAGCAGCAATGCTCCTATTTCACACGCACACACACACACACTCAACCCACATGCACACATTCGCATGCAAAATATTTGTTTTTTGCTCAACCAACAACAAAAGACCAGCTTCTCCCTCTCACAAAGTCACTCACACACAGACGATAATACCAACAAAACTTTTATGGCTGGTCCTTGCAAAAAAGGACCAAAACAAAACGAGATGCAAAACATGCCGCACTAGAACAAAACCTAATGCGCTAGAAAGAGATACATTATTAGAATTACATTGTGCTGATGTGTGTGTGAGCATATACCAGCAACATTTATGTGTCTGTGGCGCTCCCCATTCTGTTGGAGGCCCCCTCCCCCATACTCCACGACCGAACAAGTTCTCTCTGCCAGCAACTACAAGAAATGTTTTTTGACTCATTCAGAGTGACTTGACGTTTTGGTGGCTCTTAGTTTTTTGTGTTGTTATGGCTGCATTTTGTTGGTCGAAGAGTATGAGTTGGCCAGAGGGAGCAAAATGGGGGGGGGGGTATTTGTTCAACCATGTGCGTATACCATATACCATGTTTTAGTGAGTTCATCATCTTCTTCGTACATCATCATGTTCCAGGTTATTATCATCAATTCCATCTTTGCTGCCACGATGACGATAATGATGATGAAGTTGGCTGCCTGCCGCCATCAATGTGTCTCTCCCTATCTATTTGTCGTCTCTCATGCTGCAGTTTTATTCTTATTCGTATCCATATAACAAGAATCGTATCTCTACTACCAAACCATACCCCTGCCGGCGGTACATTGCGTTAAGGATTTACCTTCTTTGGGGGACGTAAAACTCGCAGAAAAAAAAAGGAAAACAAGAAAATCGTAACAAAACAAAACTCAAAGAAACGAATAAGTGTGCAGAATAAAAGTGAGACAACATATACACATGTGAGTGTGTGCGTGTGGTGTGTGTTTTTGTTGTAAGTGAGCCCTTAAAGAATATCTTGGCAAAGAGAAGAGCAAAAAAAAGTCTGGTATTTGGAAAAAAAAGATGTTTTTCAAAGGAAACTTTGTTGAGAGTACCACAGTTATCTGCAAGATAATAAACGATTCTGATAAGAAAATTGTGAGATAAAATTTTATAAGATTCCATATTGAAATTGAGTAGATTTTTCAATTTTTAAGACCGTTGGGAGAATATGTTAGCGAAATTATATTTCAAAACGAAACCAAAAAATGATAATTTAGGTGTCAAAGGACTCTACTCTAAGGACTATAGGATAAATTGAAAAAAATATCTGGTGAACCAAACAGCATGGTTTTCCAAAATTTTCTCAGTTTATTTTACCCTCAGTCATATGGCTAGAGATAGTATATATCATTTGATATGGTCAAAACGTGCCAAGTCGAAATAATGGTTTTAGACCCTAGGTCTCTTTGGATCAAATCCGTTTCAGGATATTTGGAGTAGAACTAGCGATGTCCGTCCTTTCGTCTGTCTGGCTAGCTGGTGCGTACGATAACTCTTGATTTGGTCCAAACTTGATACATCGTAATATTATTATCAAACTTAGATCGAGTTCGGAGATGGGCAATATCGATCTACTCCTTCTGGTACCTCCCACACAAAAAGTCGAATTTTTCAAAGAAAATATTTTACTTCATAGAAACAGAAAGAATCATTCGATTTTCTCTAATTGTGCAATCCCAAAATTTGCATTAGTGCTAGGTCTGGTCAAGTCCTTTTGGTACCTCCCAGACAAAAGGTAGAAATTTTCAAAAAAAAAAGAAAAAAAATATTTTACAGCACAGAAAGAGAAAAGATAATCCGCTCCAACTTTGCAAATCCAAATATTAACATTAGTGCTAGGACTAGTGCGAAAATGGACAGTATCGGCCCACTCCATCAATTACTTACCCCAAAAATGTTCAACATTTTAAATATTTGTAACACTTCCGATTGTCTACAAATTTCACACTTCTCAATATTTTTATTAATCGGTCCACTCCTTCTGGTACCTCCTCCACAAAGGGTCAATTTTTGAATATCCATGAAGCTCATAAAACATGAAATTAACATCCAATTCCATTCAGTCTTTGCCCGTCTGAATAATTCTATCAACGCATGATCTGTTATAAATATGCTAGAGATAGGGCTATTCCTTCTGGTACCTCCCATACACAGGGTCAAAGTTTTGAATAACCAACCAGATTATAAAATCGGAAATATGCATCCAGTTCTCTTCATATTTCAGACATTCCATTATTTCTATCAACACCAGATCTGCTGTCAAGATGGGATATATCGGTCCACTCCTTCTGGTACCTCCACCACAAAGGGTCAATATTTTCTATACTTTTATCTGTCATAACTTGTGCAACAAGTCCGTAAGGTATTTTGAAGCTCAAACGAGTCGCTCAAGGAGTCGTTTTTTGTCCTTTTTGTTCCAAATTTGTCTAGGAACTTTATTCAAATGGGATTATGGCCAAGAAAGGCGTTCACATTTTTTTCCAAAATGTTGACTATTTGTGTTGGAGATGCTAGAAGAATGGATCCCATTTCCGTCTGGGCTCTTTACTGGCAATAATTTAGAGAATATCGGACACTTATTTCACAATTTTTAAGTAAGGATTTCAAAATCAGTTACATTCTTGGATATCAATGAGGTATTCGAACTATTTAAAAAAAATAAAAAACAGTTAAGTTCGGCCGCGATAATATTTAAAAACCCTACACCATTTTCACGGAACTTAAAAAAAATAAAAAAAAATCCGTAGAAAAATAACTTTCAAATGAAACCCCTTATAAGGTGGATGCACGAAGGCGTGGTCCATCATAAGTAATTTTTGTCATGGGCTGAATAAAATCATCAAAATACCGAATATAGGGAGGTATCGTTATATGGGGGCTATATGAAGATGTGGACCTGCATACGGGACTTTTTTATAGGCACCTGTTATGGACTTTAAATACGAAATTTGAAACAATTCTGGTAAAAAATATTCCTAAAATCATCAAAATACCGAATATCGTTAGGTATCGATTTTTTGGGGCTATACCAAGAGGTGGACCTACATACGCGATTTTTTCATAGGCTGTAATATCTGTTACGACCATCAAATACGAAATTTGAATAATGCCTTTTAAATCATCAAAATACCGAATTTTGGGCGGTATCGTTATATGGGGGCTATACGAAGACGTGGACCTGCATACATGAGTTTTTTATAGGCTGTTGTACCTGCTATGGACTTTAAATACGAAATTTGAAACAATTCCGGTAAAAAATATCCCTAAGATCATCAAAATACCGAATATTGGAAGGTACCGTTACATGGAACGAAGACGTAGATCTACATAGACAATTTTCAGTCATTGGCTTTAGTACAAATAACGAACTTCAAATTCGAAATTTCAAACAATTCCGGTACAAAATATAGCTGAAATCATCGAAATACAAAATATTGAGTGTTAACGTTATAACATCACCCGTTTACGAACTTAACCTACCTATTAACAAAATACACATGTGTGCAAAATTTTAGCATTCTATCTCAATTCGTTTGAAAGATAACGGGATTACAGCAAACAAATGGACAGAAGGGATGTATCTAAATCGATTTAAAATTTTTCGCGGATCAAAAATATATTTACTTTGTTGGGTCTAACATGAGTGTTTTGAGGAGTTACAGGAGTTATTTTCTATGAAAACGTTTACCTTTTATGGGGGAGGTAACAAAGGGAGTGGACGAATATTGACCATTTCTGGACTCAATCTAAGTTTGATAATAATATTACGATATACCAAATTTGGAACAAATAGGATACTCTTAGGGAGTTATCGTCTGCACCAGCCAGCCAGCGAGACAGAGAGATATCCCTGGATCGACAGCAAATGTACTGAAAGGGATTTGGTCCAAAGAGATGTAGGGTCTAAAACAGTTATTTCGATTAGGCCGTATAAAATGTTATATTTAACCTCGGTAGCCACTGAGAGTAGAATAAGGATGATTTTGTCCAAAAAGTGTGCCTAAAACCTTAATTCGATATTTCATACGGGAAAGAAGAAGGAGGGGCAAAACATTGAAAGGCTGACTATGTGAGACACACCACCACTATAGATATTAAGCAGTCATGTTTTCCTTAACGCATTATATTTTAGTTAAGGTAGGACAAATGGTAACACAGGGGAACACATAAATTGTTGGAAGGAATTTAAAGACTGGCTTTAATAAGTGGAGTCTTGCATTTCCAAATCATATATTTTAAACAACTTGGATGGCATCGTAGTTCTTTATTTAAAAATTAATCAATGTTAAATTTTATTTTAACTAATCATAATATTTTTTATTTAAGTTATCTATTTTAATTTATCTGTAATTTTCCTATAATTATTAAAAAAAAAACAATCAATTTTTGTCGATTTTACAAACCATCATATTCTTGTTCCTTCGACAACGTCTTTTATCTACAAGAAGAAAACATCCTGTTACCAAACCAGCATACGGCCAAGTTTATCTCGGCAATCATTTATTCTCTTATGCTCCCACTTTTTACAACATTATTTCCATTCTCTCACACATACACTCTCATTTCGAAGCAGCCATATTTTTTGTTGTGTACAAAAAAAGTTATCGCCACACATTTCGTTTTTTAGTTGAGGAAAAACGAGCAAAAATGCTCGCATGGAGAGACAAAAACAGCAGTTACAAGTTCATATCTATTCCTCCATGGCGGCGGCAGCAGCAACAAACTACACTCACCCACAATGCTGCCCCCTCCACGCACACACAAAAACAAAAAAGGACGAAAAACAACGACAACAGCATTTCACCATCCAACCCAAGCTCCAGCAATGACCTTTGGTTTGTTTTGCCATCAAGTACATAGAGAACATGTGAGTACCCACAGTGAGAGTGAGAGACATACGGAGAGTATAATTTGCATTGTATATAACTCTCATTCTCTGAGTGAGAAATGCAATTTCTGTGAGAGCAACTTGGAGATATCTTACCAACAATTTCAACAGTAGGCAGTGGGTGGCAATGGGATTCCAGAGAGAGAAAATATTTTAACGTTTTTTTTAATATGACATCCAACACGGATGTTTTTATGATGGTGATTTGAAAATCATCTAAAATTTTAAGATTATTTTTATGAGGATACATAATTTTGTCATTTTACTTTAAGGTAATGGGTATAATTTATTTGCATCAAAGGGGTACAGAGGTGTTAGATTTTTGAATTTTATTTTTTTAATATCATTTTGGTGACTTGCAAATCTCAGCAGTGAAAAAATTACTTCAAAGCCACATTTAAAGAATATATTTTTTATATTATTTCGAGGCAGCTTATATTTTTTGCACAAAAATTCATTATACCTATTGTAATAATTTAAAAATGGTTCTTTGACTTTTAAACAAAGAAAACGTAATGGAAAACCTGATTACGAGCTGTTTCAAACCCTTTTAATATCCAATCGAATCGGTGTAAAACCCAAATTCCATCCCTTTTTATTCACAAAGTTCGTACAATATTTAGAAAATATCATTTTGACAAAAATTGGTACTCTGTCTCATCGAAATCACGCTTTTAGACCCTAGGTCTCTTTAAACCAAATAAGTTTCAGAACAGGGCTATCCATTCGTCTATCTGTTTGTCTGATTGCCTGGTGCCCACGATAGCTCTCGAAGGGAATATCCGATTTGGTCCAAACTTGTCAAACTTAGAGTACGGAGATGGGAACCTCTGTTGCGAAAATGAAGAATACCCTGTTGGTACCTCCCCCACAAAAGGTCTACATTTTCAAAGGAAATATTTTATTGCACACAAAAAGAAAGGACAAACCGACTTCGGAAATCCTAATATTTGCATCTGTTCTAGGCAAGGTGCGAAAATGTCCAATATTGGTCAACTCTATCCAGTACCTTCCCCACAACGGGTCTACATTTTAAATAATTCCTTTAAAATTTTGATGTA